GACTAATTGACTTGACTTTGTCCACACACAAGTCGACCTCCCTGAGTGTCGACCCTTTGAACGGGTCGACCTCTCTTTTCCGGTCACCTCTTTGACACTTACCCCAACCTCCTGGTATATTGTTGTGGGAATGGAAAGATAAATGAAAGAAGGCGGATATATCCATTTCACATACAGTATGTATGTTTATTATAACATTTTTCTGTGTGTCAAAATGAAAGACAGCCCACACACCTATCAATCATCAAACCGTGGGGTCTTAATTCATTACGTGTTGATTTCTATCAACGGGGGAGTACTTCAGGAAAGTAGACGGGGGACGGGGGCTAGTGGAGTACTTCGTGACCACAGAGTGTGAACGTTGTGATCAGCTGTTTTAGGGGGGGAGTCTCCCTCTGCAGCCGGTTGGCGTAGTTTTGGCACAATTCCGTTGTACAGACCGACGTTAACAGCAGCCCTGTCTGTGCACACGGAGACCGACTCTGTCGTCCGGTGATCTAACCGCCTTCTGGAAAAGCTTTACAGTACGTCGGTACGCAAATGCACTTTGTGATACAAGTGACGGTACGCATTTCAGATTACGCACATAACCTGCGTACCAGTTATGTGCACCCCTGTACTACAGCAAAGGTATTCTCCGTCGGGACTTCCTGCAACAACACCACGCCGTTATCTTGATTCTGATTGGCCAGAAGATATTATCAAAGATGTTCTATTGAGAAGACGATCACTACGTGACAAAAGTTTTCAAAACCGTTTCTAGTCTTCGGTATTTCCAGACAAGTGGCTACTGAAATCAACCTTACTAACTGCTGTCTGTGCAATTCTCGGCGCGAGTTGGCAGACTTTATTTTACTTACTTTAACATAATTTTTCATGGTGGGGCTAAGCCATTTCTTGGTATGGGTGTAGCCTACCCCAGCCATACCCTGGCGCTGCCACTGGTGGGGTGTATGGGGCGGGCCATTCTGCACATGCGTTAAATGCGTTAAATATTTTAACGCAATTAATTCAAAAAATTAATTACCGCCGTTAACGCGATAATTTTGACAGCATTAATATATACATAAAACATGTCTCTTAATGTTGATTTGGGATTGTCGCTCTACTCAAAGATACAAAGGGGAATAGATTATATCATCTTTGGGTATTTTGGCAGAAAAAATATGAAGTAAGAATTATTGTAAGACGTCTAGGATGTGCAAAGCCTCCGTGTTAAGGCGCTGCAACCCAATTCTACTCAGGCCTTCGTTGCTTTCACAAGTGAGCCGAGAGAAATGGGAGAAAGTAGCAGAAGAATTGTACTCGACAGTTGTTTTGGCCAATTTCCCTCAATTTCAGCTCTTATTCACAGTCACTGTCTCTGTGTGCCAGGCCTTTAGTGGTGCTGCTACTTCATACGACAGGTCTTCCCTTTTTGATCCACAGAGGAGAAGAGGAGGCCGCTTTGTTTAATTTCTGAAGTCTGGCTACCCGACTACTCACGTTTTAGCATTTTCCAAGGCTCCATTTTCACAAATCGAACCCTTTCCGCGGTGAGATCACCAGCACTACTGTGGCCCCCGCTGTTCATTTCTCTCAGTCTTTTATTTATCTGTCTGTCTCAATCATTGTCTCTACTATTCAAAAGATCTCTTTTATGAGCTTTGTGTTTCGTTGCCTTTTCTCTCACTCATATCTTTCCCCATTCCCTTTCTCCGCCTCCTGTGGAGCTTGTGCAGTCGTTCCACACACGTCCGGAGGGCAGAAGTGTCGGCTGATGGTGAATAAAGCATGAAACAGCGTCGAGCGCGACAATCCAGCAGCAGTTTCTGCTGGCTGGGAGAAACTGCTTAAGCACTTGACTGCATTGCATTCACAAAAAGCCAGCTTGGATTT